GGCAATAAAGCCACTAAAACACAAGATGTAGTGGTTACTGAGTGTGAGAGAATATGAGAAAGAAAACATTAAGGAGGGAGAGAAAAAAATAAAAGAATAGGAATTAAGATGATAGAAGATTGCATTTTAATTTATGAAGTTCAAAGTTGACTGGAAAGTAAGAAGAGTTCCACAAACGATTAGAGCTAGTGAGGAAACTGCTATCATAGAATTTACAGTTACATTTAGCAATTTCAACTGTAAAATGATCAGACTTTGCCGCCAATCTAGTGCTATACTTGAATTCATATAGTCTAAGTACCAAAGAGAAAAGCTCATCAGAACAATTACCATGAAAATATTTATAGAAAAGGAACAACGAAGCTACGTTATAGCGGTGGGAAAAGTGACTGAAACCAAGATACCAATAATATTGCAAATTCTGTTTTGTATTTTATCAAGTCTATCTAAATACACAGGAAAAGCATCAGACCATATATGACAGCAATATTCAAAACATGGACGATTGGGAGACTTATAAATATGTAAGAGATTATGGCGAGAAAACTTATCTAGTACACAATGAACCAGATTTCTTATCAAGAGACCTAGGAATGGATTGCCTTCAGTGTGTTCCGTAAGTGTCAAATTCTCTAAATCATTTTCTTTAATGATGTAGGCCAGAAACTTCAACTTTTTCAGATCCTAAACACAAGTGTGTTTTTCGTTCCCCTTTTTCTTTAAAACGTCTTCATTATATATTCGCTCCGTTCATAGCATTTTCAACATCCTTTAGTAGGAAGTCTACTCTTCATCTATGAGCAAATTGTGCAGCATCCACTGCTATATAGAAGGATTGATATTATAGAGCAGTCCAACAGTCTTTTCTTTGTTTCTAACCAAATTTTTATGATTTTACTATTTTGTTTTGCTTTTGAGTGACATCTTTCGCTATTCAAATGCACCTTCGTATTTCTGTGTCACATTTTCCATAATCTGTTCTTACACATTCCAAATATTTAAACCTCTCCAATTTGTAGATTGCATTTTGGGCTGTTCCTCTTACTGAAAGCCATATAATGAAACTTCTTACAATGGATGGTTAATCCTTTTTTACGCTTTTCTTTACTTCAGATGCACATATTATCTCGCATTGATAGCATTAAAAATGATATTTTCCTGCCGAATTGAGTGTTTTGTCCCTAAATTAAGATTGGAACATAATCTTGATCTATATTCAACAAAATCTGTAACCGGAAAGGTGAAATATCATTGGCTATGAAAATAACATTGCAGTTAATCCATAATAAGTAATGATATTTGCGTGACACGATGGAGACCAACGTAGAAAGGAAATAAGTGGTTTTATTTCGATCTCAAGTGTTTGTTGGATAGGCACGCGTATGGTTCCTTTTGAAGTTCGGTCTTCTAAGAGGTATCCACTTTAACTGAAGGGGAATATGAAATAAAGGGGTGAATTCAGTGGAAACAACATCAGAAATAGGTTATGTCCAGTTTATATTAACAGTCATGCTTGGGATCGGAGAAAGTTTTGATCCGGTCTTGGCGGGAGACGGACATGTTTGGCGCGCGGCTTCTTAGCCTCCATTTGTATCGTCATCCATCACGTCGGGATGAAGAGATCGATGAGGATTTGGAAAGGGGGTAAGAATTCGCATAGAAATTATCCCAAGTATCACCTACCTACCCATCCGCAAGTGAAGCCGTGAATAAAGCGTATATTTTATGATATGGGAAAAAAGAGTTCGCATTCTTATTTTTCGACATAGCGTTTCTTTCATCGTATTACCTTTTGAGAATGCATCGTGCCCTTTCTCAGCTTTCGGTGCACAGCGAGATCGAGGATTGGAATGGAACGTGGGGTAATCATTGGTCGGTCGGTAGGAAGTTTGGGTGATGATCGCTTTGTGTTTCGATATAAATTTATACATGTTTTTTTCTGTTATTTTGGCTTTTTCGACCATAATTGTAAAAGTGTAAAGAACGAAACTGTGATCTCAAAGAATCCAGTCATTCAAATTAATGCAAGCAAATGTACAAAAAGACTTCAGATCCTCTTTTAATCAGTTCAAACTGTGAATTATATTGCGGAGAGGTACAGAAATATTTTCAACAGATTGATTTGTCATGTACATAAATATAAGCAACAAATACATTTAGTTAGAGTACATTTATTCATGCGCAAACGCCCACAGACTTAACTATTCCAAATTTTTCTGTTTTTCAAATTACATACGACCACGAAGGCAAATACGATATCAAATAAATATCGTACATTTAAATTATCATAGTCTTATCATTTATGATAATTATTGCAATACAATAAATGTATGCCGACGAGCATATAAGCAAATAAAGGCTCTTTCTGTAGCATGTGCGAGATTTGCGTTGCTGATCTTGCAAGCTGCCATTAGTTAATTCGATTCTCGCTTTTTGTTCTATGTTTGGCATTGGACCCAAATTTTGCCCATACTATTTCTTGGGGCACTTTTCATCCGTATTGCCTATTCATTTTTATTATTTCTACAATGTTTTAAAATATTTATTCGCAAGAAACTAAATTAAGTATTGGAAGCGTGGATAGTACCAACTTAAATTTTCGTTCGATTCTGTTTCATACGAATAAAGGCATGAATCCAACTTTATGGGATAAGCAGACAGTGCTCTTTCACCATGAGATGGCAACCAGTTCACGAGAAGGAAAACTGAATTCGAAATCAGGTTCTAAATGGATAGCCTCCGTCATGCTGCCTTACTTAAAACACATCACTGCTATGACTATCAAGTTCAAACCATCACTTCCATTTACGCTTGACTATTCCATAATCTTGGCTTAGTCACAGATATTGGGGACACAGCGAAAATCAAATTCACACATTTATTTAAGTGTCTGCGAGACTAGCTTGCCAAAAGTTGATTGCCAATTAGGCTACTCTAACAGAGAACTGTCACATAAATATGCGCATATATAAAACAATGCTCATCAGTACACCACTAACATATAACTGTGTATTTGTCCAGCAATTCCTCTTTTAAACAAGTTTCATTAAAAACAACTGATTAGGTACTGCAGTTATGTTTTTTACTTAATTTTTCCCGTGGTTTTATAATTTCCTTATTTTCCTCAAATAGACATTAAAAACAAAGAAAATCCGCCCCTTAAGCAAGACCACCCCCAAAAAACAAACAAAAAAAACAACAACAAAAAAACAAAAACAAAAAAACAAAAAACACGGCACACCTGGCTTACCTCACCTACGTCACAATCCTCACTTGTTCTACGAAACTCACCAGTTGTCGTCTCTACCTATCTTGGCTCACCAGTTGTCGTCTCTACCTATCTTGGCTCACCAGTTGTCGTCTCTACCTATCTTGGCTCACCAGTTGTCGTCTCTACCTATCTTGGCTCACCAGTTGTCGTCTCTACCTATCAAGTGGAAAATATTGACCATATTGAGATTTATTCTATAAAATACAATTATGGCACAAGGCCGCAAGAGTGGACAATATTTATTGTACTTTTCTTCCGAAACGAACTTCAGAGAATTTTTGACGGAATTTCGTATTTGTCTGAGAAGGATTATTCGGAACTTGGAAAAATCGATCATTAAAATTAATCAACATCTAGTGTTGTTTTCCATAATAGTTGCCTTAAAGAACATTCGCTGCCTAAATACACATAATTATATAGCATTACCTCTCATTACCATCACAGCCCCAGACAAAGGATGTGCAATTATCATTCAGACAAATACCTATAATGAAAAAAATAAAACTTTTATTCGGATATATGAATGTCTATGAAAAACTGATAAATGAATAACACTTTCAGAAATACAATAATCTAACAAATCAATTAGAAAGTTAGTTCATAACGAAGACGAAACATGCATATCCAATATCACCCCAAAATACCCAGATATTATAATCTACACCAGATATCAGATATCTCAGACTGGCAGTGACACCAAAACTATAGCAATTTTAATTCCCACTTCTTGGAACAATTAGCTCTTCACATTTTAATTAACATTTATCAAAAACATAAAAGTGAAAGATAAATTAATGGCTAGTTCAGATAATAAATATTTATTCAGTAATAGACCTGTTAAAATTCTTAAATCTTATAAAGAAGAATTTAAAAAAAAATTAAAACTTAACATTTCCCTACCGATAGAGAATATTTTTAGGATTTACCGATTATAAACCATTATTCCACTTACAACAATTTTAGGGACAGCTATTTGTACTACAAATGAGATCACTTCTTAGCAATGTATTAGCATGTCTTTTCTTATAATTTCGAAAAATTGGTCCTTTCCAAATATTTTTACTTGAAGAATCGACATATTTCCGATATATCAATGATGCTTTATTATATCCTCGGGAAACAATATTACCTGATTTTGTAAATAAGCAAAACAATATTGAATATACAATTGAATTTACTTGTAAAGAAAGCAAACAGTATATTACCGTTTTTTATATTATGTTAAGCAACACTAATAACGATATCTATCTATCTCTCTCTCTCTATATATATATATATATAATGAGAGAGAGAGAGCTCATATTGTATCCTGAATATTTCGTATATAAACTGAAAGCTTACAAAATGCACAAACAAATTACGTGTGATAAAGCTATACACATATCGCTATCAACTCCATGACTGAAATACTTAATACAACATTTGTCATAACTTTTCAAAAATTTTGATTTGTTTTTAACGGCTTATCAACCCTTTGCATGTTACTTAAAACTAGAATCATACAAAATATCTGTCAAAAACAGAAAATATTTTTAGATTGTAAGAATTTTTTACAAGATAATAATGATTTAGATCTTATAATTTCTACTTATTAACGCATAGTTAGAGGGAGAAGAGGTGTATTTATAATTTTCCCCAAGGGTAAGTGAATATAACAAACCCGACTGAAATTAGAACTCGGCTCTTCAATTTCGAGGTGTTATCCCTTACACCATCTGCACATCTAAGTTTACAACTACTGGTATTCCCAAGCGATCACCCATCTAGATACTGACCAGACTTGACATGGCTTAACTTCGGTGATCTTACGAGAACCGGTGTGTCATAATATTATATACCGTACCTATGAATACTAATGTTCCAATCCTCACAAATACGTTGGACACTATTGTAAGTGGGGGGTAATACGCTGTCTAAGTAGTCCACAACTAGCAGTGGTTTACCTACTTCACGCCGCTGGCGAGTATTGTATTTTGTTGATGTTATAAAGATTACCATTTCATTTCCAACCTCCGTTTTGGTTATTCCTCATTTAGTAACCGTTTCTAGGTTACAACACATAATAGCAACATTAAAACTGAAGCAGGCATTTAATATAGATTGCAACATATGTCACAAGAAATATATTGCTAAGGTATCTAGATATTTAAAATAAGATTATACAATCATATATGAAGGATCTTTTATAAAAACAATACAGTCAATGAATTAGTCATTAACAGTAATATGTTATCATAAAAATCTGTTCTAATTAAAACTTATTTAATGCAAAAATATATTGACAGTGTATTATTTTCATAGCATTTTACATTGAATTTATGTCTAGGATCATACAAAATATCTCTCAAAACTACTGCTGATACAATGTAAGATTATTAGAAAAAATAATGATAAAAAAGTTGAATAACTGAACGAGATAGTCTAAGCTAAACATGCAGATATATTGAGCATCAAATATTGAAATTATAATGTTGTGCATTTTCGTATCTTTAATACTTCCATTTAAACTGCAAAAATGTATCCACCAACCCCTTTCCCATTTTTATTTATTGTTTTAATTAAAAAAAATTGTGGCACAAGGCCAAAGGGGAAATTAAGAAAGGCTGGTCGACATTTTCTGTCTTAGACCAAGCTAATCTGATTCAAAACCCATTCATTCATTACAATTTGCTCATTCGCCACAAAAAACTCCTCCCACATCAGTCAATACTACATATACCACAATAGCACAAATTCACAGGGAACCTAAGATTTCCATGACATAAAATTTCAATATTTTAAACTATCTCTTTTTTCCATTTTTGATATATATATATATGGTCATCAGAGGAGAGGGGATGAAACCAGAAACTAAAGTATAACACAGCGTTCAAATTAAGCATAAAAGATGTTAGTAGGACCCAACCACCTATAAAAATAATAAGAATGTCCGCTGTATTCTGTCTTTAGACAGAATCAGGAAGCCCACTCACTTTATTTTTATAAGACTGATTTCATTTACAAAAGCGTTATTTATCTGAAGAAACTCCTCGAAACGAAACGCGTCACTATTTGGCTTTCAGTATTGTCATTAAACTAGCCTACATATGTCTGTGACAATTTTCTACGTCATCAAGTCATTCTACTACATAAAAGATGGGTTAATTGCCCGTCTCTATGTAGTTGACATTTCTATTGACGTAGAAATCATAATTATTCAATGATAAATAGAATGATATTTCTGTCTATATTTCTTGAGATGAGGTATTGTAACTGTTTACACTATTTACATTGACTTTATCTCCATGTTATTTCTTTACTTTTAGGTCGTGTTAAACATGAACAATAAAATGCTAAACAAGAAAAGGTTTTAACAAAGTATTTGATCCTACATTGTTTTCTTTTATTTCTCCTATTAGTCATTACAAATTTCATTTGTGAAAGAATATGAATAAAAAGAGAAAAAGAAACATTATTAAAGAGAGAAAGAATTAAGATAGATAAAGTCAAATTGGCAACTGATGTAAAAAAAAAATGCCCTACTTTCTGTTGCTAACTGGGGCTAGCATGGCTTGTTAAATTTAACGCCTCCAAAAAAGAACTGCTTTCTATTAATCGTCTGAAAGAACTCTTTCTACCTTCCACCAGCATGACTGGTGTTAGCCTCCAGGAGAGTAACTCGTTCTACCGTCTCGGGCTAGCGTCTTCCATTGACATGACGTAGAAAGATTATATTGAATCGATTGCTAGGTCTGTGGCTAGGAAGGTTGGTTCACTGTGTCATGCTATATGTCTCCTGCCAGAACGTATCTACAAATCTATCCACTAATCCATGCTTAGAATATTGCTCCAGCTATATATTTAGAGATCCTTAATAAATTCCAAGGAAGAATCTGCAATGTTATTGGTCGTGACCTGGCATCTCGACTTCAGTCACTTCCCCATCGCCGCAGCGTAGATTCATTATATCTTTGCTATAAATAATTTCATGGTAAATATTCTGATGAATTCTTCTCTGTGGTACCTGAACTTTATGAATTTAAGCATATTATTAGATTGGCAGCAAAATTTCATTTTACAGTCGAAATGACTAATACATAGGGGAACCTAAAACGATATAGGTCTTGACTTGGCATCCCGGCTTCAGTCACTTTCATACAGCCATAGCGTAGCTTCTTTGTTCCTTTTCCATAAATATTTTAATGGTGATTGTTCAGCTGAGCTTTCCTCTTTGTTACGTAGACATTAATTTAAGCGTACTACTAGAGTGGCGGAAAGTTCTCATCATCTTACAGTTGAAATGGTTATATGTAACCGTAAGTTCTATGCTAACAGTTCATTCTCTCGGACTTCTTGCTTGTGGAATTCTCTTTCGGCGTCTTGCTTTTCAGTCAAAAATTTAAATGCAATGTCAGTTTTTATCCTTTGTCCTCTAAAATTCTCTTCTTTTATTGTTCTCGCTCTTTAATAATGTTTTCGTTATATTATTCTACACTCAATAACCCTTACGTGTTAGTAACTCTGTTTTCTTGCTTGTGGGGAAAAGATAAACAAAAACGGTTTCGATAAGACTCTTGGATCTCTCTAATGGTGTTTTTAACCATGTAGATCTTTTAAAATCCTTCAGATTCGTTACCTTCCGTCTATGAAGAGAAAATTCTTGTCTTCAATTATTCTCAAGTCATGCGATTCAATTATTCTAACATTTTTTTATTCTTAAAACATTCTGAAGTGATTTTTCAAAAATCTTTCGGGTCGTTGCCTTCTTGAAATATCACCTACCAATTTTAAGTTGTATAGCAAAGAATCGACTAATATTTTAGCAAATGCATACTCTCCTTAGCCCTGGTACATTTTCCGTTACCTGTTGCGCTACAGTAAGTCCATAAAATAATTTGACCACCATTAAGCCTCACTGTATTTTCTGCATCATATAATGTTTCTTATGTCCCAAACATATCCAAAAAACATTCCCGGGTAAGACGATAAACTACGTCCAACAGCAAGGCCTCTGATCAGGAGGTTTTTGAGGGGCATGGAACCACTTCTTAAGTGCTGGTGTTCCCAGGATGGTAGCACGTTACGGTCCCAGCTATGGGTAAATAGTTAATCCCCTAAACTGGAGTGAAAACAGTATGAAAGTGTAAAAATAGGTTTTAACCACAGAAATATTACGTAAAAATTATTACCAGCAATACATTTTTGAAAATAAATATTACCAGCTATACATTTTTTGAAAAATATTACCAGCGATACATTTTAGGAGAAAAAATATTACCAGATATGGATTTTTTAAGAAAAAATATTACCAGAAATACATTTTTGGAGGAAAAATTATTACCAACAATACATTTTTGAAGGAAAACATTACCAGTAATAATAATTGTCGGCATTAAATAACCCATTGTGATTGGTATGCCGTAAAACAAAAAGCAGACCAAACCATATCCAAAAATTTGAATTTTTACTTTATTTGACCAAATTCCATTGACCATTTCACTGATCTCAAGACTTTTCCAAATACAAAACAAGCCTTTTTTGTGTTTTCTGTAGAATTTTTCTTGCAACTTGTTCGGGAAGTCCTTATCAGTTCAATGTTCTACGAATTGCGGGAATGTGTACATCAGCTACGGCCTAAATCGTTGCAAAATTTATGCATTTATCGTACTCGTGTTTTGTTTGGCTTATACGCCAGTTTCTATTAAGAGGAGTAGATAGGCGAACCTATCTCCGGTTCATATTCCCCCCTGTCTTTTGAACAGGAGTAGAGGTTCATCCCTTGTTTCCTGTGTAGGATTGAGTTTCCGGTTCATTCTAAAATCTAATTCAACTCTATACTTCGAAAGTCTCCGCCTAAACTCTGAGATTTTATTTATTATTTATTTTTTTAGTCTCAATAGGAATAGAATGATTCGCTTATCGCCCGGTTGATACTCCTCCACGGTTTTTGATCAGGAGTAATGGTTAATCCTTTGTTTCCTGTTTAGAATTGGATTTCCGGTTCTTTCTAATTTTTTCTCTTTGTATTTTACTCCCAGTAACTATTGCTTCCTAGTGGCATCCTCGCATTGCTTGGGATGAAATGAAAAAAAAAAACAAAAACAAAAAACAAAAAAAACAGTTCGGTTTTTTATCTTTAGTTATGCGTTTCAGTAATTTGTAGTGCAAACTAAAAAAAAGAAAAGAAATTGTTTCAACCAATGCACTATAAAAAACAAAAAACAATCAAACGAAAGTGTGTATTTCAATAGGGTGACGAATAGTTATGAAGGGTAGGGACGTATTCTATAGTTTCTTTTTATGTTGAATGGGTGCTGAAAGTATTTTTAGAACAACCTTTATGAACTTTTGTCAGACAAGGCCGAGACGACCTCATTATTTATAACAAAAGACATAATATCGTTTAATATCATATCTAATTGCTCATACGGCAAAAGCAGTCTCACTCACGCCACTTTTGGCTGATATAATTTGATTTGTTTCTTTTATACGGCTTATCAGTCTTTTGTGAGGTATTTAAAGTTGAAAAATTTTGGATTGAAAGAATAATTCTTTTCTTTTTGTATGTGTGAATATTAACTATTTCTTTTATACGGATAACAATTTTTTTTTTCAAGATACAAATCCTACTATTTAAATCAATGTTTGGGAAAAGGAGATTTATTCTCAATTTTCTTAAGAATATTTGCTCGTTTTCAAAACTAAACTTCTCTCTATTAATCATCTGAAAAACTCCCATCTGCCTTCCATCAGCATGACTGATGCTAACCTCCAGGAAAGTGACGCGTTGCTCCTTTTCAGAGTAAAGTTCTCAGCTGACACGAAATAGAAAGACTATATTGAATC